CAAAATCCAGGCACTACAGCAGCTGTAACATAGTGACCACTGATACTTTGATCTTTGAACTTTACCAGGCTACCTGTAAGCAGCAACCCTCAACCTTAATCTAGTGGTCTTTTTCTATAGACAGAAAAACAGCAAAACAATTAAATCTGAATACCCACCCCACAACTTACTAGATCAATAATTAATAAGAAATATGACAATGCATTTCCATGTAGAGGCAAAGGCTTGTTTTTCAAAGCTCTTAAACACCTACACTTCCATGGGTTGCACTAGACAGAAAATGTACTGGGAGAAGACACAATCAGTATCGGTAAAAATGACATGGAGATTAGATCTCTTTGTTAATACAAGTGACTTCTGTAAAGAGAAATAAGACATAGTTTACAGTCACGTCTTATTATAAAATAACACCTAGACTGCCCATTTCTATAATTCCTAAGAGCTTCCTGACTTCCTGTTCCCAGCTGCTCTAGTATAGTCAGAGCACAGCCTTTTCTCCACGTTTTTTTGTTCTTGAGGATTGATCCTCCTCATCTATGTCCATGAAAAAAGTGGGTTTTTTTAAATAACATCTATTTTTATGATTGTTTAAAATATTAAAATGTCTTCTTTATGCTCTCATGCATATGTCCCCAGAGACAGATGATGTCTGATGTACAGAGATGGCATGCAATTTTAATAATGAAATTACTTAACTCTTAACTTAGCACACATAAACCAAACATGAGGAAACTACTCACCTGCAGCACAGAGCCCTCATGCAGGTGCAGGGAGTGCTGCATAACCCTCCTGCAACAGCAAAGTCCAGGCAGGATGAGAGGGTGGAAGCTGCTGTGCGAGGGCTGGGCACACACTGCCTGGCCACACACCTCGTCAAGGCCAGCAGCACCGCTGTGGAGGGAACCACGGGAAGCACTCCCTGCTCACCCACCAGGCAGCTGGGCTTCCCTGAGAAGCCTGGGGCATGCACCTCCTGGCTATCAATTATACCGACCTTGTGCAGGACAACATCCACATGTCTGTCTAGGCTTAGACTGCGAGTTCTCTGAGATGGGGATCCTTCTTAGAAAGTGCCTGCCTGATTGTGGGCACATCCTCAAAACGATTTCCAGTAACACTGGGTGATGTAGAAGAAAAGCACTAATTGTCCTCATACCATCTTTGCTATTTTTTGTTGGAGATATTATTCTCCTGGCATACCTCCAACCAAAGGCTAACAAAAAAGAAGCAGTAGTAACATTTAAAAAAAAAAAAGTATAAGCAGTGGCAAAATAGAGCAAAAAGTACATTCGCATACATAGTTCACCAACATGACTTCTACTGAGTGCTAAACACTGGAAAACTAGCAACTTCAGTCGGGTGCTGAGGGTCAAACACTGGCTTCAGGTAGTGGGGTGGCAAAGAGTTCACTTAACTGTTCTATTATTACTCTCTCAGGCTGTATTTACATGGCAGGATATTACTCTTTATATGAGTTCTATGTGACAGAAAAAAAGTCTTGCTCATTAAGGCAATAAACTACATTGCTAATTTACAGATCCAGTGTTGTGCTGACGAGGACGCGCACAGATGGTCTTGTTTTTACAGCAGTGCTGGGATGTATTTTCATTGCAACGCATGAAACAAAATAGATCAGCCTTCTGTCTTACATCTCTGCGTGAAGGACAGTGCAACATTCACTACTTCTGTAAATTACCGCTTAAGAGACTATTGCCTTCGCCTGTGTAAAAATTCTGAAATTATTCTCTATCAAGCTTTAAATAATTTGTTTCATTAAATTGCAAGTTTGTAAAAATTGTTGCAACTTTTTCAACTGCCAAGCAGGATTCTCTATTTCTTTTCTTAAACCCCATGGCTTGACATCATGGCAATAAATGGATGGATGGATAGGAGCAAAATCAAGATGAAAATACTGAGGTATGAGGTACGGCCAACACCTGTGCTTTCAAACTACCCAACCCGTCGTGAACAACACTTGGAGTATGGACCTTAGTTAGTTAAAACCTCCCAGATCTGTGGTTGCCAACCATACTGCCTGGAAAAACAGAGTGAAAAGTCTCCCCACCAGCACAGTCGTGACACTCTCGGGTACCAATAACAGAGCTGCTCTTCCCATCAGCTTCAGTTCAATCACCTGCAGAGAGAATATTTGAGAAAACTAAATTTGCCACATCATAAGAGTTCTCAGCTCTGCTGGTATCCCAAGGGACTGGTTTGAGGATATCCAGCAGTGGCGACGGGGATGTGAATGTCCAGTTTTGGTGCTTGTTTTTCTACAAATCATTTTGCCAAAGACTGAGAAAAGCAAAGTAAGTGCAAGTGTACCTCAAATTGCTGGAAAGCAGTGCTATTTGTGTCAAAATAAACTGTTTACTTCAATTCATGCTTACACTTTGATTTAAAAATAAATAAATGAATAAATCAGTCAAATCTTTGCTATGCTCAGGTACTGCCTTACTAAGCCACTTACTGCCTACTCTGTTTTGCCTAGCATGAACAGCTATATTAATATTTATGCTGTTATAAATTGTATCCTCACTGTTTTACATCAACTCTATGCCCTGCAAAGCAGTAATTTAGCTATATTCACACAACTAATCCAAAGATCAAATCATCAGTTAGATTTAACGAGGTTTAGAAAAAATAATTGACCCTTGTCAAGCAAGGCATTAAAGCGCCCAGCTGAGCGTTACAACACAGAACAGCCAGCAGTGGTGCAGAGCAAGCAGTAGGTGGCAGAATGTGTCTATTGAAGCTTAATCGCGAATAAATCAGCCGAACTCTCACCTGCTAGAATCCCATCAGAAAAGCCAGAGAAACAGCCTTCACGTTATTGTTATGCTATTATCACTTTGGTCAGAGTACACAGAATGAAACCAGAAAAAATATTCAGTAGCCATTTTCCAGAAGGAAACATATATTTATCTTAGGAATGTGGCAAAGCTACCATTACTAGTGAAAAACCCCAATTTCGCTGGATTAAAAACTGGCTCACGTAAAGCTGTATGACTATAGGTAAGGGAACCCAAATTAAGCATCCGGGTTGACAACAGCCAAGATAAAAGCACGAGAAACCAAGACCATTACCAAGGTAATTCCTGAATTTGTAGAATCTTGCAAAATAAAATCTCAAAAAGGTTTTGCACAGCTAAATGTTTTACTGCTGCTGCGATGACCTGATAGTTTAAAAGCAAGTGAGTACAATGAGTATGAAACAGCACACAAAAATATACTCTTTTAAAGCTGTCATTTTATCTGTTTCTAAAACAGATCTGGGTAGCTGCACCTTCTCCTGTGGATGGAATCAAGTCAGTAAGAAAATGTCTAACACTACCACATTTATCTACTTGACAGTAATTTTTTATAAAATCAAGCAAGACTAAATGTGTTCAGTAATAAAATGACGCTGGCTGTGCATATTAAAATTGCAGTTGCAAAACCATCAATTTCTGTGCCTAGAATTCTGTATTTTCAGTAAAGTAGCCACAATTTTTGAAACAAAACAAAAGAAAAAAAAAAATCCCTCACTGTTCTTCACAGAAAGAGACCACAACTTGACACATTACACTGGATTCTAGATGAGGGGACACAAATCAAGAAATACCACAGGAATTTCATCTCATCTTGGATACTGAGGCATTTAGTTTCATGTTATACTTTAATAGAACTGTTTAAATTTCCAGAATCTAATTATGAAATTATATTACAAAATAAAATATTTAAACAACATTTAATTATGTACATTCTGCTCCAAAAATGGACTGTGGAAATTCTTTACAATTCTCTTAAAAATACTTACAAACCACAGCATGGGTCAACAATTCACTGGCAATTAACAGACAGAAGTCAACTTAAAGGAAATAGACCTGTGGAAATTTTTAATCTACTACTGCTTCAGTAACAGTGTCTTTTCAAACAACTATAAGTAGATTTATTTCCTTGCCCCAAAATAATGTTCCAGTTTACCTTTCACGTTGGATGATTACTCAGTAGAGTAAAACTTTCACAGAAACAAGATGACAAGTAGTAAGAACAGGAAATTAGGAATTCAGAAAATTACAACACAGAAGAGCCCAGGCAGGTGTACTTTTTCCTCTGTTTTAGATGATTGTAAGTTTGACTGTGCCCCTCTGCAACCTTCCCATATACATTGTATGGCAAACTTACATAGCTTACCCTTCATCTTACTTCAAAACACACCGCTTGCATTACTACTTAAAAAATAACACAGATATAAAATGACTAGTTTGTTAGGCTGTAGGAACAAATAGTTTAAAGCTATTTTACCAGTCTAGACAACATGTACATTCATTGGAATGGGAGTTCACACCAAGTGCTGCAAGAAAGCAATTACATTCAGAGGAATGGATCTCAACCTCCATTCCATGTTTATCATCAGTATATATTAGTAATCATCAATTTGGGTGAGGACAGCATAACAAAAATTCTCTTACATAGCCCTGAAGTGCAAATGAAGCACTTGTTAAAGAGAAAAATTAAATGCAGTAGTTTTTTTCCTACAGGTAACTAAATTTCACACGAAGTGGAAATTGCTTAGTTTTGGTTGTGTTTTATTTTGTCACACAAAATGAAGCAACTACAACTTGTAATCCCAAAGAAATCTGCTTAGGCCGCAGAGCCTTCCTGTCCAACCATTACAGAAGTAACGGTTTCCTGGTTTAACTCAAACATTTGTGGAAGTGCAAATTCATTAACCTCTGCATTGTGCACACATCACTTTTGAGAATCTTTAGTTCTGCTTCCCCTCTTTCCCCCTCGGTTCAGCTGGAAACTCACTCAGAAGTTATTTTAAAGCTGTTCTTAAGTTACTTTATGCAAAATAATAAGATTGCTGCAACAAAGTGAGTAACAAATACGCTGGAAGTTTCTTCAGTTCATGAGAGATGGACTAAACTAAGGCTGCCCAAAGGTCAGTATTTATGAGCCAGGGCATCAAAGAGAGATCTCAGCTGCCTGAATCAAGGCAGTTTCAGTGAAATAGGTGACCACTGAAGTCCGGTGATCAGAACTAAACTTTAACCAGTACCCTGCATTTTGTCTGAAAAACATATATGCCAGTCACCAAACATATCTCAGACTTCTAAACACCAGAAGAACAGAGGAAAAAAATATGGATAGGTATTTAAAACTTTGATGCCTAAGTTCTCCTGTATGCGTATATTAAAAAAGAAAAATTAACTTACATTATAACAGTATCAAACAGGACAGCATTACAAAAGAAGGCAACTTGAATGGCCAAAACAAAAAAAATCTGAATGTTACCAACCCAACTACTAGCATTCTGGAATTTATAATACCATAGAGCAGACTGTTGCTAGCAACAGTTATAGCCCAGTTTAAGCAATGTCTGCCTTAATTCCAGAGAATGCAGAAAGCATTAATTCGGACAAGTTGTAGCACGCTCTACTTTCACGTCCTCCTAGCAGGTTTGGCTGTTAACTGCTTCTCTCTTTCAAGCTCCTTCTCACGTTGCTGTTCTCGTTCCAGTTCTTCCTTCTGCCTCTTCTGTTGCAGCTTAAGTGCTCTCTTCTAAACAAAACAGACAAGAAAATAATTCTAAGTTTTGTAGCTCTATTTAAGTTGGACCTACAAACGAAATCCCTCCCTTTCTCTTAATGTTGTGTTCTGCAATCCACCTTGCTTATGAATTAACTTTCATAAACTTTTTTTTCCTACCTCCCACTTCCATCTTACCATTCAAAACCAGCAAGTTTGTGATCTACACAGGGAAATACAAACTGGATTACCTTCAGTCTCACAAAAATTCATCCTCCATGTGTACCAGATGAGGTGCATACTGTGCAACTAATTGCCTCCAAGAAAAATTCCTTCTCTTGAACATATTGAAAGACTAATCTTGCCAGATTAGTGGCAAGAGACCAGAGACTGCCTATACAGCATGAAGCCAGTGAACTTAGGCCACTGTTAATATTACATTAAATAGAAGGAGGAATTCTTACATTTAGAAAAAAACAGTTTTCATTAGAAAGGCACAGAAACTGAAATAACAAAGAAAACTAATTGGAGTGCATTAAACAACAGAACAAAGCATGATTTTTACACCACCTAAATACGATGACAACATTGTGATTTACTAGCAGTTCAGATGCATAAGTTGCTTAAGCACAGGTAGGAGTAAGAGAAAGTTAGAAACATACATGGCTTGGCACTACTGAAAACATTCACTTAAGATTAAGGATTGAGGATTCTATTTTAATTGGAATTTTCAGCACGCATCCAAAAAAAAAGTTGGAAGTCAGCAACATATAACCAAATATCCATGTTGAAAAGTAAAAACAGTTATCCCACTCACTTTCAATTTTGATGTCTTCTCATGAAGCATCATCATCTCATTTCTAATATTCACTAACTTGTTGTGATAGTGTTTAGCTTCTGAAAACTTAAAAAACATAATCATCAAAGCAGTGACCATCAAGTTGGAATAGTTGTTTTATACAGCTACACAACAAAATCAGAAACACAGTGATTACCAGAAGTTTGATAATGGATTAAGCATGTTCAAGTTTATATTTAAAGTTTACATATTACATGTATTAATATAGAAAACTACCATATCTCAGCAGGTACACTCAGTAGCCTAGTGAAATAAGATTCACTGAACAGAATAAAAATACAACCATTTTCTGCACCATGTATCAGTTTTATGCAGCCTTCCTGCTAGTCTGGAGAGGTGCACAGAGCTCTTGTTGGAGACCCAGTTCTACCAAAAAACGTAGGCTGTTTGCTTCAGCTGCTGGTTTTGAACAACCAGACTTACTACCAGTGGCTGACTGAACCTGCTCTTTCTTCCCAGAGCCTTTCCCATTTAAGGGAAGTATGCTGGTTCCGCATCCTCTCCAGCAACAATTTGTCCTGAATATCTAAACTGGTTGGTTCTCTTCCTGTAGGTCATTAACAACAAGGAAAATAAACAAGTTGCCACTAATCCTTCAGCAAGAAAATCTACACTAATAGAGATTTCAGGAAGCATTAATAGGACTTACCAAAGCATTGATATCAAGAATGGAGTTACACTCTTTGAATTTTGAAATTTCTTGTTCTAACGTTTCTAGTAATACCACTTGGTTCTGTCTGAAACAAAGCAAACAAAAAAGCGCAAAGAACACAAATAAAGCAGCACATACACTTTTCAACTATCCCTTTAAATAGATACTACTTTTGACCATAACAATATAAATACATGCTTCCCAATACCAGATCCCTCTTATGCATTGCTAGGTAATTTCAAGAAAGACACAAGTAAATGGTTTTGGAAGAGCCCAGCTGAGTATACGCAAATTTAGCTGGCACCATACAGCATGGACACCCAGGATGAATATCCAAAACCCTGAACAGGCACTCTTGCAGGTTGCAGTGAGTGAACAGGCCAGGTTGAATGAAGGGAAAAACAATTAGCTCTTGACTTTCCACTCAGGTGCTTCTGTGTCATGTTGTGCGACCAAGTTATTTCTGTATAGAACTTGCAGGGATCCCTGGTGCTTATTAAGGATCCTGCATCCCACAGAAATCAGTTGAAGTCTTTCCAGACACAGGTTGTCCTTGGCAGCAGCACAACCACATCATGCACCATGAAGCTCAGACCAAGGCACCCTGCAAAACCTGAGACAGGTCTGTGTAAAGCCCTTTCCAATACCTCTGCATCTATGGCAGATCCAGCCCGCATTTGAAATAAACCATTCTCAGTTATCAGCTGCCCTGAATATGAACTGCATCCCTCCAAGCAAAATAAATCCAGCATTCAGTAGACTTCCCACTATAGAAGTAAACAAGTATTTAAGGAATTTACATGTCTTCTGCTATACCTGGCTTATGGTATTTTGGTGCTTTAGAATTATACATTCTTGAGCCAAAGTTCTGATAGGCTACGTTGCAGCTTAAACACCTCCCAGTATTCCTGTAAATCACTTGACTATTCAGTATGCTATGGTCAGAACACTGAAATACCAGAATAAACTATATTCTGGCTAAGGCTAGCCAAGACATTATATTAAAAAGAGTGGTGAACACAGTAGGCTTTAAAAAGTGGCTTACGTAAGTTCCTGTAGTGCTGATTTTGATCGCTGAAGATCAGGCAGATAATGAGAAATCAACCCTTCAGTTAGCTGCTCCACAGCTTTCTCATCTATTAAAGGCAGATCTTCTACTACTCCTTCATCAGGAGATGCATCCCTAGGACCTACACCAAAGAACAGCACGGTGGAATGTGACAGGTCAGTACGCATCTTGAGTTTGACCCAGAGTAACTATATTTTCCTGGTTCAAAATTAAAAGTATTTCAACACTGAAGTTATAATTCTTTGCACGCTATCAAATAAACCATGCTTCCTTTTCCCTCCCCCTCTTTATCTCTCCCTTATTCCCAGTTCTATACCATGAGCTTCCTGGTGAATCGTTGTATCTGAACAACAGTAGACACCACCTTGTGGCTGGTGTCTACTACAGGCCACCCAATTAAGGGGAGCCTACCCATGAAGCCCTCTTACTCCAGCTACAGGAGGCATCGTATGCGAGCTCTCGTCCTGCTGGGGGATTTCAACCACTGCTGGAAGAGTAACACGGTGACCTACAGGCAATCAAGGAGACTCCTGAAGCGTCTCGATGATAACTTCTTAAGCCAGGAAATAGACTCCTGTACCCGAGGGCATGCGGTAGTGGACCTGATGGTCACCAACTTAGGTGAGCTCATCAGGGATGTCAAGGTCAGAGGCAGCCTGGGCTGCAAGGATCACGCACTGGTGGAGTTCACAGTCCTAAGGGGCATAAGTCAGATGAGGAGCATAGTCAGGATCCTGAATTTTAGGAAAGCAAACTTTCAGCTCTTCAAGGAGTTAGTCAGTAGGACCCCCTGGGAAACGCTCCTCAGGCACAAGGGAGCAGAACAGACCTGGCAGATCTTTAAGAATTCTTTCTATAGAGCACAAGAGCTCTCACACCCAGGTGTAAGGAATCTGGTAAGGAAGGGAAGAGACCAACATGGCTGAGTTGAGACCTGCTGGTCAAACTAAAAGGCAAGAAGGAACTGCACAGGCAGTGGAAGCAGGGAGAGGTATCCTGGGAAGAGTATAGGGATGCTGCTGAGTTATGTAGAGATGAGGTCAGGAAGGCCAAGGCACGGCTGGAGCTAAGTCTGGCAAGGTGTTCAACACCAGGCTTGATGCAGCTCTGAGCAACCTGATCTAGATAAAGGTGCCCCTGCTCACGGCAGGGGGCTGGACCAGATGGGCTTTAAAGGTCTCTTCCAGACGAACACGTTCTATGAGTCTATAAATAGAGTATTCCAACATCATCTTACAGAAAAGAAGTAAATTCCAACTACTCCAGTCTACTGAGGGAAAAAAGACGCAGTGTCAGTTGTTCTGGCGATACATCAGGACCACCCAGACACTATCACCCACCCACCTTTTGCTTTCAGCGCTAGAGAACAAACCCAGCCCTGCCAGGGAAAGGTTTTAGCCTGTGCCTCAAACACTACGAAGGCCACGTTGAAGCGCCCCACGCTGAACTCCAGGGGTTTGCACGAGTTGGTGCAACAGCTCCCCCGAGTTTCGCGTGGACAAGCG